AAGATGTAGTTGATGCAGTATTTCTACATGAGAATGGATACAAATGAACCCTTGGCGTCCTGTCACAGAATGACAATAAGAGAGTGAAAAACACCTTATAACAGCATAGCACAAATGCAAAGTGATACAGTAATGTGAATCTTCTGAAGCCTTACCTCCAAGCATGCATTAAAAGATAACTGTCCATGCTAACAATAAGAAACTTGGTGGAAGGAAACTTTTCAAAAATTACTTGGGCCTGGTGTAAGTCTCTTTACATCAATTTGCATGAAGTAGTGACATATATTTTGAAAACATCTGAAATTCAGCAAATTAGGGAAGGAAACCACTTCTGATGCAACTGTGTCATTTTGCAAACTTGTGACCTGAATATTGGGAAATTCAACTAGTTTCAGCTGTTCTGTGCAAAAGGAGTACTGCTTTCAGTGTAGTTTCACCTTGCCTTTTCAACAGGCAATAAATACTGATTATCTCATTTCCTGAGCAGCTAAATGTGACAAAGGGGTCACTCTGATTTAATGGAATGGGTGGATCCTATACCAGAGACAGTGATACAACTGTGTTGTATGGTGTTATTGATGGGCATGCTGTGCCTTGATCCACACTGACCAGTTCACCTTTCCTCCTGTGCTGATCAGTTGAGTATGAACCCCACTGACATTTTCCCATCATGTGGAGAGAGAAATTTTGTGGAAACCAGCAAAAGGTATGGTAATCCTTTTGGTGTTAAATTTTCTGAGTGAGGATTGCATAGCTCCTACTGTTTCAGGAAACACACTTGCGCTAAAAGGATGAACTCTTGTCTGTCTGTGTTTCTACAGTTTTGCTTCTGGGGACATTTCTGGGTTTTTTTTTAACAAATCTCTTACATATAGTCATATGTCATCATGGTTAGAGAATCTCGACAATGGATTTCAACAGAGTTAAGGTATAATACATGTTTTTAAAGCACTCAAAAACATGTTATCAATTGTGTTGCTATCTAAATGGAAGTAAATCAGTTGATCTCAGTGCAGGTACATTATAGTGTTATTCATTGAAAAGAAATCATGATGCTTGAGAATTCAGTTCAGTGACAGTAAAATGCTGAATTTTAAAAAAAAAATCTAATGTATTGATTGTTCACTGTTTAGTATTATCAGTTTTAAATAGCATCAACTTCTTGGCTAGTAGATTTTTATTCAGTCAATGAAAAATGTAATTGGTTTCGCTCGTGCCACTTTACAGTAAACCTAACCTGAGCCAGTGACCTTTGGTTGATCGACCACTGCAATGAAAGTTATTTCCGAAGTGTAGCTTGGGTATTGAGGCAGAATCTTCAAGAACCTTGATCTGAATCTTGATAAATGTGTTTAAGTTCTGTATGCTCCGAACATATTGGATTCAATCTACTGGAGCCATTACCAAAGATGAAGTTATCTGTGGTTTATAGTTGTGTGGCTTTATATGATCCAGTTCTTTGGATTTGTCCATTTGCTGCCATAACATCATGACACAAGTATGTGGCTGACTAGTTGACATCAAGGCATGAATCTTGGACAGTTTGGATGTCAACTAGTAAGCCAATTACTGATTTTGTGTAATAGTGTCACAGCTGCTAGTTTCTTTACAGGAGTCAGTCCACACAATGATGAACTAAACTACTACAGAAATTAGAGAATGGTGTGCTTACCTTGTTCTATTGCAACTTGAGAAGTCACATGACAACAAGTTATAGTCCAAGAGGTTATTTGAAATCACAAGCTTTCAGAGTGCAGCCCCTTCACCGGGTGAAGCAAGAGAGAAGGACACACACAGAATTTGTAGGCAGAGAGGTCAAAAGATCATATAACTGGTGTGAGTGGAGTGACGATTAACAAGTCTGCAGGTGACAGTGTTAGACGGTGTGAGTAAAGTATCAATAGCTGAATAATGAGCAAAGGGATGACCTATAATCTGACTAAAAGAGGCAGATAATTACAAAAATTAAAAATAACATAATGCTTCAGACAAAGTAAATGATAGAATAACATGATAGGTATAAGAGTCACATGCTGAGGGTCTAACCAAAGTAAATGTAATCTAAAACTGTACAAACTAATTAAGGTGGAGAGGTCATAATAATTTATCAAGATGATGGTGTCAAAACAGGACACCAAGGAGATTTTACAGATACAAAACAGCGTGGTGGGGTCAAATGTAGCGTGACAAGATCACAGTTGAGGCCGTCTCCATGGGTATGGAGCATGGCTATTAGTTTCCACTTGGTGATTCTGTGTTATTGTGTATCTCAAAGTCAGCCTTGTAGGACACTTACCTGAAGATTGGAGGCTAAATGCCCTTGACCGCTGAAGTGTTCCACAACTGGGAGGGAACATTCCTGTCTGGTGGTTGTTGCATGGTGTCTATTCATCCATTGCTGTAGTGTCTGCATGGTCTCACCAACTTGGTCTCTTGCAACTTGGACTTCTATCGGTAGTGTGTTTTAGGTGTCCCTGGAACATGGCTTGGGCTTGGTTTGTGGTATCATTGGCTCTGATTTGTCAATAAGCTAATTGAGAGGAATAGCCTGTCTTGATGTTCAATTTTTACAAGTAATTATCGGGCAGTCACCATCAATGGAAATGTTTGGTGAATTTGTGTAATCTTCTCTCTGTCCCAAAGACCACTTGTAAGGCACTCCAGTGTTGCTCTAATGGGATTAGGCAACTAGAGGCATTGCAGGCGGAGGTAAGAATCCTGGGATTATGTGGATAAAAGGGTAATTGGTTGAAATGAAGGAAAAATAATGAGCTTTTGAACCAAAACAGTCATTTTCTGTTCCTAAAAGCTACATTTTTGTGTTTTCTTATTTAATTCTTTAAGGTTAGCATTCATCTAGGAGCAGAAAATACTTTAGGGTAGCTGCTTCTATTACATCTTGAGGATTCCAGAAGTAGGGGACCAACTAAAAAGTAAAGATTTGGGGTTGCCCTTTCAGGACAGAGATGAGGACATAAGAACTCGGAGCAGGAGCAGGTAATTCAGCCCCTAGAGCCTGCTCCTTCCATTTTATGCAATCATAGCTGATCTCAACTCCACTTTCCTGTCTGCTCTCAATAACCGTTCAGAGTTGTGCAGCTTTAGGACACTGTGTCACAAAGCGATGGAGGCAGGGTCATTGAATGCTTTGTAGATGCTTACAAATTCTTGTTAGGGATGAGAATCATAGGTTGTCAGGGGTGTTTGGGAATATGGAATTCAAAATAGATCAGCCATAATCTTATTGAATGGCCTACTTCTACTCCTAATTCATGCATTAGAAATGCTTGTTTTTGTCTCATCATGTCACATACCTGCTTGAGCCTCACTTGAATAAAAACCTTTCATTTATATGATCAAAATCAAGTATCTGATTTATTTATTTGCTGTTGGAATTATCCTCTTTGCAAATTGTCTGGTGCAATTGACTTTGGTAAGGTGACGACCTTAAAAAGAGAATTTCTTATTGCTATCTTCTGAGATCCATTGGATACTACAAAATAGGTTATTTTTATCTTAAGACAAAGCTCCTCCTACTTAGTTTTTCTTGAATTTTGCTACATCTGAGAGCTGCAGTAATCATTTTCTTAAGATGACAGATTTAATTTCCTATCAAGTGAGTATTGCCATTCCTACATCTTAGTAATACTAAAGGGGATAGCACAATGTTGAGATAACAAGGTGTAAAGCTGCATGAACACAGCAGGCCAAGCAGCAGCATAGGAGCAGGAAGGCTGACGTTTCGGGCCTAGACCCTACTTCAGAAATGTAGATCTCTTTGTAGCTCCCTGTTTACTGCTTTACACCATTTACCACATTCTACACTTTTTTAGGTTCAAAGTGGACAACCTCAAATTTTGCTTGCCTTGGAATTCATTTGCAATTGCTGATTAATTTTTTTTTGTAATATTATGCTTTTGTATGCAACATTCACATTATTACCTAGTTTTGTGCCACCAACAAAGTTGGATATGTGGGCCTCTATCCTGTCATTTAAGTTAATAAATTCAGTCAATGGTTGAGGTCTTGGCAAGGGTCCCTTTGGAACATCTCGAGGTACATCCGTTATTTAGAGCACTTGTCCATTCTTCCAAATCTCCATTTCCTGTTACTTGATATTTCATAACCGGTTTAATAAATTTGCTTTAAATTTCTTAAGCTTCAACTTTTAAGTAACAATCTTGTAAGCGGGACTTTATTGAATGCTTTCTGGAAAAACGTGTAGATATAAAACAGCGCACCACTGCCCTGTCCATATTACATATTCAAAAAAACGTCATTGAACCAATCCTTGATTTGAGCTGAATTTGCACATTTGAGCCCATACAGCAGGGAAGGGGAGGAAACAATCTTTTTGTTTGTTTGTTAGCAATGTTAGTAGACAGGTTCATAGCAGATCACTCCCTGTTTTACACTGAGAACGAGAAAGGAACGCAGGCATGGCACAAGAGGCTTTACATTTAGTTGCTTTACATTTAGTCCCCGAGTTACAAATGGGTGCTGTTCCAGAGTCTCTTTTGAAGTCAATTTCTGCACAAGTCAGAACACTACGCAGTACAGAACAAAATACCTATTTGTAAGTTGACTGACTGTTCACATGTTGGATCCTTAAAATTTAATAGTAATATGGGTTCTCGTTTTTAAGTGTGAATGTTCATAGGATGAGGATCACCTGTAAATTGATTTTGTGTAACTGGCGAAGATCAGTTTGAGTGCATCTGTTTCTGGACTACAGGAAGGGGAACAAAATCTGTCTGGATTACTACTGATTGCAATCCAGTGGCCCTGTGGAAAAATGCAATTGGTTGGACACTTAGCAAGTATCAATCTTATCTATTAAGCTCATTGTAAACGCTCACACATGAAATGCTATGGTCACTGGGACTTGTGCCCAGCATGAGGGTCAGCACCTTCAAGAGAAGACAGGAGTGATTTGTAAGAAAGATCGGTTCTGTTACAATTTTATGTTAATAAAGTTTTACTTTCTCTGCCTTTTCCAGCTTGAAAAGGGAGATGTGAGTACACTCAGTTTGCCAGCAAACACCAGCCATGGGGGCTCAGACTCCAACATTAGCCTTGATGTGCCCGACGGAACCCCAGATCCTCATAAGACAAAAGCAGCCATAGAACACCTTCACCAGAAGATCCTGAAAATCACAGAACAGATAAAAATCGAGCAAACTGCTCGGGATGATAATGTAGCAGAATACTTGAAACTGGCCAACAATGCCGACAAACAGCAAGCATCCCGTATCAAACAGGTTTTTGAGAAGAAGAACCAGAAATCGGCACAGACAATTGCACAGCTGCACAAGAAGCTAGAACACTACCACAGAAAACTAAAAGGTAGCATTGTGATCTGGATTTGTCAATACTATTGATGTATTCCAATGACGGTCACAGAAGTAAAGGGAGCAAGGGTTAATCTTTTTAATTATTCCTTTAAAGTTGAGCAATGTTGTCAGTTTCATAGTTTAACTAGAAAAACATTTTGTTTTTTAATTTGCTCATTTGTACTTTTTGTCTCTACCACTTCTGTCATGCTGTTCTGAAGGTATGATTCACATTAACGATTTAATTGACCCAATGCACACTGAAGTAGTGATCCTTCACCTGCATTTCTAAAGAGTAAATGTCAACAGGATTTTACTGATGTGAGAGGCAATACTAATGAGCCAGATTATTTCCTTTCCCAAAGTTTACGTATCTGGAATAGCTGGAATGGGCCACTGGTCATTGTAGGAGATGTAGCTATACCTACCCTAACTAGCTCAGTTTGGCTTTTACTCCAGAGGAAAGTAATGAGAGAAATAATGCTTTTTGTTTGTGTCGGACTGTGGGAAGTTTAATCCAGTTGGTTCTGTCTTATTCCCGCCTGATCAGGTGATTTCACTATCCCGTTAATTTCTCTTTCACAAAGTAGCTTGGAAATTCCCTCACAATGGAAATAAGTGTAAGTAAAAGCTTTTAGGTAGATTATTGGTGCTGGAAATGAATCATTTAAGTGTTTTCTGTTCAATCTAACTTGGGGATTGTGGTGACATTTATTAGAGTTGTGAAGTTGGGTAGAGTACATGTGCATTGGAAGGCAGGATGTTAGAATTTATTTGTAAAATGAAATGGGGGGGAAGAGTGCATGATCTCTTTAAAAGATGTGCTTTTGCTAGGCTTGGAGATTTAAAAGAAATATCTGCAAGCAGCAGTAAGGACAGAGTTCCTGAAATTGAAACATTTGTAACAAAACACTGTATGGTTAGCAACCCAGCAGTAGTCTTGTTTTGTTATTAATGCAACTAGTTTGAATATTAGCCAATTAATTTAAACCAGGCACTTAGACTATAAACTAATTAAATTTAAATCGGATGGTTTTGACAACCTAGGACCAATCCTGGTGTAAAAAATTGTTAGGTCATCAAGGGTGTAAACGAAGAGGGTTCTTGAAAACTGGTGTGAGAGCAACTGCCATCTGTCAGAATTAACAACCAGCAGCCCTAAGAGAAAATCAATGGCTCTCTCAGAATTCTGTAGGCTCTCCAGAAAACTGTCATCTAACTAAAGGTACAGTGGCACTCTTAGCAAATATTCCTGACACAAGAATTCGACGGAGAAACATGTTCCTGACTGAAGAACAGCAGAGAAGGCACTGAATATTTTGGAAGACGTATCCTGGCTGTAATTTTGAGAGACTAAATTTAAAGTTTTTTTTAAATTAATTTGATTTATCTAAGTGGGACACTTACTTATTGCAGCAGCATACCATTAGAATTTTGCTTTATTCAGGAATAGTTAGTAATTAAGGGGGAATTGTTCATTTTGTTAATAGTTCAATGTTGATTATAGTGTGACTGTCAGGAATTCATTTTGTTTAATCTCCCATTTATAATCGATTGGGAGGTGAGAAGCAGGTTGTACCACTTTTCGTACTTCCTTTAACAGATTATGATGCAAGGAAAGCTTCTCTGGGTATCTCGGTTTTAGTTATCGGGGTGGGGGGGTGCAGGGAAATGACATCTGCTTCATAACATTAGGAAAGTTTAATAATCTATTCTGGAGTATCTTTAAACTACTTCAGTTTGTATAAAACCAAAATCCATGATTGGACATTGAAAAGAATTAAAAATGTTAGAACCTGCTGTGATTTTCTTAACTGTTTAGGTTAAAACAAAAACAGAAAACAATGTGGGCATTTTTAAAATTTTCTTTTCCGCTGTCCAAACCCTGTCATCACACTTCATGTATTCTGTTTGAAAGGCTGCGTGGCAAGCTTGTTTCCCTGAAGATCCTACTCCTGAACGATTTTTTTTTCTCGTATCTGCTGGGCACAAACAACTGAAACTAATGCAAAAACAGAAATTGTCTGGCAGCATCTGTAGGGAGAAAGCAAATGCTGTAAAACCTGATTCTCTTCTGCAATTTCTGTTTTTGTTTTAGACCTTCTGCATCAACACTTCTTTATTATTATGAAACTAATGTGTGCAATTCTGTACTCACAGTTACGGAATGTGCAATGTTTAGAACAGGATCACAAAAAAGCATTTTCTTGAACCCAGCAAACGAGGTGGTGCAAAAATTGAAATTCCGATGAGTGGAGTGGATCAAGTCTGCTCAAAGTGCTTTTTTGTGTATGTTTTGTTTTTGTCAACACTAACAATTATGCTAAAACAAAGTGAAATAAATTAAACTGTTAGACTTGAGTGGATGTATGCCCTCCATCCGAAATAGAAAGTGAAATAGAGAAATCGAAACTGGGATGAGGAATGGAAATAAAGATTTCATGAAAATTTAACACTTACCAATTTCTAGCTAGATGGCCAGAAGAGGATATTTGTTTCTAGTCGTCTCTACAGTATTAAATTTCAAAAAAGATGACATTCACATTTGCTTCAGAATTAGGAAGTAAAATTTGAACAATAAATATCTATGATAATATATTCAAGAAGAACAAATTGTTCCCATTCTGCTAAAGATGCAAATTAGTGGCACTTTAACTGTGAATTTCAGCAACCAGGTCTCAATAGTCAAGAAGCAAAAATCAAGTTTCAGAAATTTTGCATGATTATCTTTAGAGATTGGTGACCACTAATCCAAAAATGTTCTTTCAGAGATGCATGGAGTCTACAATTCTTTTGTAGAAGGAATGTACTCAATTAGGTGTCTTAATATTTGCTTCCATGTCTTCATATCTGGATTTACCGAGCTCAGTCACGTTCATGTTTTCTGCTTAATATTTATTTATTTGAAATTTAGTTACAGTCATAGAGATGAACAGCATTGAAATAGACCCTTCGGTCCAACTCGTCCATCCCGACCAGATATCCCAGGTTAATCTAGTCCCACTTGCCAGCATTTGGCCCAAATCCCCCTCTATCTTTTCCTATTCATGTATCCACGCTGACCAATAAAGGCAAGCGTACTAAATGCCTTCTTCGCTACCCTGCCCTACCTGCAACTCCACTTTCAACAAACTGTGAACCTGCACGCTTTGTTTGGCAACACTCCTTAAGTCCTTAGCATTAAGTGTATAAGTCCCTGTCTTGATTTCGTCTGCCTTCTGCTCAAGAAACTGAAGGGATAGCTCCCTCTTTGATCTCCTGGGAGAATAACAAATGAATTAGAAGATCTAAGTTATAATTCTCCATCTATTTTAATTCTCTCTTGAGCTAGGAAAGAGCAACAGCTGGGCCACCACGATTTGCATCTGAGCTAAGGCCAGTAGCATTGTTTTACAGGCAATTGGTTTTGTTTCTAATCGAGTGCAGTGATCTTTTTGGCAAAGGGCATTCATGTGATTGTCAGCTGAGTGCAACAAATAGTTTCACACTGTAAACTTATGTAAAAAAACAATTAAGTGAGTATTCAACAATCTGTAGAACTGCACACAAATATCTAAAAACACGTGACAAAAATGTAAAAACTGAGTTAATGGATAAATTTTAGGCTTGTACGATGAAATCGTTCAGTGTAATTGGTTATCCTGATGTTGTAGTTACCTGGTCAGGTTAACTTGCAGCAATAATTTAAAATGGAATCTGATTCATGCTTCTGTTTGCTCTGATCCTGGTTTATCAATGTTTCAATCGGGGACCTCAGAAATGGATGTATACAGACAAAATATTAAATGATTTATTTTGGACAAGGGCAACTGCAAGGATGTTTTAGACTCTCTTGTATACTTTCAAGTGTCCTATTGTAGAGTGGGATTGATGAATATTTGGGAGCAGATTGTCTATATTATCCATTTACTTTCTAGCATCGTACTTGAAAATGTAAGAGCACAATGCCGATGTGAGTTATTGCACATTTAGCAGGTGCAAAAAGATTATATTGTACAGATATTATTTCATTTATTATATAAATTTTTTTAATGAACTTTTGCAGAGATCGAACAAAATGGTCTTTCAAGGCAGCCAAAGGATGTTCTGCGGGATATGCAGCAAGGTTTGAAGGACGTAGGCGCCAATGTCCGAGCTGGGATCAGTGGATTTGGTGGTGGCGTGGTGGAAGGTGTAAAAGGAGGCCTGTCAGGTCTCTCTCAAGTCACTCACACAGCAGTAGTTTCCAAACCACGGGAGTTTGCTAGTCTGATACGAAACAAGTTTGGCAGCGCTGACAACATTGCCCACTTGAAAGACACATTGGATGAGTCACACCAGGAGGAGACCACCAGGATTCTGAGTGGCAGTGCTACACTGGTGTCAAGTCCCAAGTATGGAAGTGAGGATGAGTGTTCCAGTGCAACTTCTGGCTCTGCGGGTGGGAGTAACTCTGGGGCAGGGGCTGGAGGCATGGGGAGTCCCAAATCAAATACATTGGACAGCCATCATAACAACTTTGATACTATCCTGGATGAACTTCACGAAATTAAAGATAGTCAGTCACATCTGGAGGACGCAATGGAAGATTTGAAAGGACAGTTACAAAGAGATTATGCTTACATGACGCAGTGTTTGCAAGAAGAACGATACAGGTATCTAACTTACAGTTGATATATTTTCACTTGATGAATAAGGAAATGGATATCTACACTGGTCATGAAACACAAGTATGGACTTTCCCCATCAAACATTCTTTTTCCTTCCCTTTCTCATCCCAGTTCCCATCAGAATGCAGGTTAGTTTTAGGAGAATAAAGATTTGTGAACCCCAGATTAAGTTATGTTAAAGTCATGCACTGGAAATCAATCCCACTATTCCTGGAGTCATTACAAAAATTAAAAAAATGTCTCCAGGAACACAGTCCCCAGATTTGCCTGTCAGACCCAGATTAACAGAAAATATTTACCATATTCTGTGCTTATCAAGAACTATTTTCTTACAAATAATTAGATTCTAACCACAGGTGAACAACTATTCACTGTCTTCTAGCCTCCTAAAACCCTGTGTATGTACACAGGCACACAGACAGGAGCACACGCTACAAAAAAAGTGGTGAAATCGCACCAGACATCCAGATTCAATGGAGTATTTCGTTTGTTTCCACATCCTTCAGTTTTCTGATTTTTTTCCCCCCCCCTTCAGGTCCTCACACGTCTTCACAGCAAGCGCAGAAATGTTTTGATTTGATCACAGGATTTGGGCATCACTGGTTGGGTCATTATTTGTTTTCCATCCCTAATTGCCTTTGCGACGGTGGTGGTGAACTTCCTCCTTGAACCGCTGTAGCCTGTTTGGTATAGGTATGCCCACAATGCCATTAGGGAGGAAGTTTCAGGATTTTCACTCTGACACTGAAGACACAGCAATATCTTTCCAAGTGCATGAAGTATAAAGTCTCTGACTCATTGATTCAGAGTGACGGCTTACAGCAAATGGTGGGAGTAAGTAAACTGGCTTTCTTCAGGCTTCACATATTTTACTAGACAGAGACAATATCATTCACACCCATAAGTTGTAACTATGTCAGTGTGCTCATTCGCATTCCTGAGACTATAGCATTGATGCATTCGAGCTTCAGTGATAACCATAAAAGTATACAGCCAATGGTGAAATGTTTCATTTTACCTCAAGGTCAGTAAGCACTCTCTTCTAGGCCAATCTTTGTCTAGTTGCAGTTAAGATGGTATATGCTTTTACAGTATTGTGATTTCTCCAGTAAGTTGTTCTCCAAATGTATGCATTCAACATTTTGGAGATACGCTTTCACTTGATAATGAGTGAGGTAGTCTGAACAAAGACCAGGATCTTTTTTTGTCACATTGCTGACAAGATGCAGTAAGATTATCCTGGGAGCATTTCGGCTTTGGCTTTGTTGCTGTGTGCTAGGTTTGGTCTGATCACTGCTAAACTAGGGAGTGGAACTATTGGCCTGAGTTACTCCCTTATTCATTAGTGGCGATTCATACTAAATTGTACATACGTGTGGATTGAAGTGAGGACAAAATCCAGTTTTGTGGCAATGTCCTTCATTTTCGTATAACAAACATATATTGTGTAGCCACCTGATGAGGGACTAAAGGCTAATTGTGTCTGAAACAATCACCTTGCATAGATGAGAGCCTTCAAGATGAAAAAGGGAGAAAAATTGGAATGGAAAATTTATCTGCGATTCAGGAGCCTGATGAATTGACATGTTCATGCATGGTCAGGTTATACTGCGAACCTGATACCCTGGAATGGCAACACTATCTTTCACATTAATTCGATCAGTGATGTCAATGCAAGCTTTGTGACAGTCAGTATAACACTTGGGTGTAGACAAGGACTTTATCTAAAATGTTACTCCCACTGGACTCAAATAACCTTTGTCCTTCAACATGCTATGTTACGAACTTTGTAAAGCGTACAGATCCTCAACATGCATATCTGTAATTATATTGTGACCTGGGTAGTGCTGCCCAATTGAATTTTAATGAGTTAAGCAATTTCCCAAAGATACAGCTTTGAAGCTGTGTTAATGTTAGCAGAGCTAAGTGATCCCACAACCAATGGATCAGATCTAAGCTCTGCAATCCTGCCATATCCAGTCATGACTGGAGATGGACGATTAAACAAGTCACTGGAGGAGGAGGCTCTACAAATATCCCCATTCTCAATGATGGAAGAGCGCAGCACATCAGTGCAAAAGATAAAGCTGAAGCATTCACAGCAATCTTCAGCCAGAAGTGCTGAGTGGATGATCCATCTCTGCCTCCTCCAGTGGTTCCCAGCATTACAGATACCAGTCTTCAGCCAATTCGAATCACTCCACGTGATGTCAAGAAATGTTTGGAGACACTGGATACTGCAAAGGCTACAGGCATTCCAGCAATAGTACTGAAGACTTGTGCCCCAGAACTTGCCGCTCCCCTAGCCAAGCTGTTCCAGTACAGTTACAACACTGGTATCTACCTGACAATTTGGAAAATTGCCCAAGTATGTCCTGTACACAAAAAGCAGGACAAATCCAACCCGGCCAATTACTGCTCCATCAGTCTACTCTCGATCATCAGTAAAGTGATGGAAGGTGTCATCAATAGTGCTATCAGGCAGCACGTGCTCAGAAATAAACTGCTAGGTGGTGCCCAGTCTGGGTTCTGCCAGGGCCACTTAGCTTCTGACCTCATCACAGCCTTAGTTCAAACATGGACAAAAGAGCTGAACTCCAGAGATGAGAGTGACAGCCCTTGATATCAAGGCTGCATTCGACCGAGCATGACATCAAGGAGCCCTAGCAAAACTGGAATCAATGAGTACTGGGGGCAAACTCTTTGGTCATACCTGACACATAGGAAGATGGTCGTGGTTGTTGGTGGTCAATCATCTCAGCTGCAGGACATCTCTGCAGAAGTTCCTCAGGATAGTGTCCTAGGCCCAACTATCTTCAGCTGCTTCATCAATGGCCTTCCCTCCATCATAAGGTCAGAAGTGGGGAGGTTCGCCAATGATTGCACAATGTTCAGCACCATTCGCGACTCCTCCGATACTGAAGCAGTCCATGTTCACATGCAACAAGATCTGGACAATATCCAGGCTTGGGCTGACACATGGCAAGTGACATTCGTGTCACAAGTGCCAGGCTATGACCATCACCAATAAGAGACAATCTCACCCCTGTCCCTTGACATTAAATGGTGTTACCATCACTGAATCCCCCACTATCAACATCCTGTGTGTTGCCATTGACCAGAAACTCAGCTGGATTCACCACATCAACACAGTGGCTAGAAGAGCAGACCATAAGCTCGGAATACTGTGGCGAGTAACTCACCTCCTGACTCCTCCAAGCCTGTCCACAATCTACAAGGCACAAGTCCAGGAGCATGAAGGAATACTCCCAACTTGCCTGGATGACTGCAGCCCCAAAAACATTCAAGAAGCTTGACAGCATCCAGAACAAAGCAGCCACATGATTGGTACTACATCCACAAGCATTCACTCCCTCCACCACTGACGCTCAATAGCAGCAGTGTGTACTATCTACAAGATGCACTGCAGAAATTCACCAAAGATCCTCAGACAGCACCTTCCAAACCTACGACCACTTCCATCTACAAAGGACAAGGGCATCAGACATATGAGAACACCACCACTCCACGTTCCCCTCCAAGTCATTCACCAACCTGACTTGGAAATATATCACTGTTCCTTCACTGTTGCTGGGTCAAAATCCTAGAATTGCCTCCCTAATAGCATTGTGGGTCAACCCACAGCAGGAGGACTGCAGCGGTCCAAGACAGCTGATCACCACCTTCTCAAAAGCAACTAGGGATGAGTAAGAAATGCTGGCCAGCCAGCGATGCCCACATCCCACAAATGAATGGAAAAAAAAGTTACCTGCCAGGAATTGCATTCCCAGAATCAGCAGACAGATTGAACAATATAGTGCCTTTGAATAGTAAAATTATTCTGACACCCAAGTAAAGAACAGAAGCGAAGAAATGGGAAGACAAGGTAAATTTTAAAGGATAGTGCTAGTCTCTATATCATACAGGGTCAGCTTGGCATCAACCAAAAGCTGCCATTGGTTGCCCTTAAAAGCAGGGTCTGTTCCTAGTTGAGATTTAATGGTGTAAAATGTTTGGTTATGTTTGGTGTTGAGGACAGAAGGGGGTGCAAGGAAGAAGGTGAAAAAATAATGTGGAGAATTTGAAAGGGGCAGTAATTTATTTAGTTGTTACTGTTGCAATGCCTTGAATTGCCTGGAGGTGGTGCAGTCTACCATAGACTTTTACAAGTTCAGTTGTTCCACCAACTATTTCAATGTAGCGTCCCTGCTGGCAATCTGCATTTTAAATACAAATATAATTATATTTGAAATGTATTGGTTATCTGTATAAAATATAAGGTGAGGCTGTAATGAAGCAAATTGTCAATTTTAGATGTAATTTTGAGAGAAGGTTCAAAAAGGCAAATCAAGTTAACTCAAATTTGTCTCTAAATTTTCTTGGTTTATTTTGTGTAAGGATCAACTGTACTGAAATTTCTGCATATTGTAGCTGAGCATCCCAGCATGAATGAAAAACTATGTTTAGATGTAACCTGTTTTAGTTTGATATTATTTAATTGCCCTATCGATCACCCGTTCACTGTGTTTGCTTTTGCCCTAAAACACACACTTCTGCTGAAATATGGTTTCACAGAAGCTGAGATAACAAATGTTACCAGTTGAATCAGAACTATGTCTGCGTTTGCTGAACTGGGAGTGGGAATGCTTGCTGATTTTTATCATAATTTCAATTCAGAAAATTTCAGCCCTCTTGCCCCAGTTGTGATCTTTTAACATGCTAGAAATCTACAATAAACACTGATGTGGAAGTGCCGGTGTTAGACTGTGGTGGACAATGTCAGAAATCACATGACACCAGGTTATAGTCCAACGGTTATTTGAAAATGCCAGCTTTCAGAGTCTCGCCCCTCCTTCGGGTGTTAGTGAGAGAGGTACATAGAACAGTACAGCACAGTACAGGCCCTTCAGCCCCCGATGTTGTGCCAACCTATTACCCTACTAAAATCAATCTACCCTAAATTTTACTATCGTCCATATCTATCC